TGCAGGGGTCGACCCACCTAAGCCCATTTGGGCCCAGCGATATCCGAGGTTGAGGCCACCGCCACAGGGGCGCCTCTGCCGCGGGAGGCCGTGCTGCCGCTTTCGCCGCCGCCACATCCGCCGCCAGGATCCCGCCGCACCGCGTCGCCGAATCACCGGAGTGACCATGTCGCCGATGCCAGATGGAGACACCATCGCGAGCGAGGGAGAAGTCCCCGCCGCCGCAGTCACAACCCATAGCCCGGGCTTCGCCGACGTGAACTCGGGCGGCGGCGGGAAGGAGAGATCGGGGCAAGGAGGCCTAGGGCGCGGCGACACGATCTCCCCCGTGTCGCCAAGGGCTTGCGACGCAGGGGTCGGGTTAAAAATGGGGTCAAAGTGCCGGTAGTATTGTTTATGCGGTGATGCTAACACGAAGTTCTTCCATAGCCACGCCAAGCACCGCTATAGGAAGAATACACTGACCACTTTGCAGCATGAGGGGGGCATCCTCTCAAGCCAGGAAAAAATTGAGGAGGCAGTGGACACATACTATGATAACATATTTGGCTTGGCTCCAGAACATGCGCACACAATCAACATGGAGGCGCTTGGGATTCTTACGTTCAATCTTGCGCATCTAGATGCACCGTTCTCAGTGGACGAGGTGGAGAAGGGGATCAAGGACATGCCCAAAGATAAAGCGACGGGACCGGATGGCTTTACCGGCAGATTCTATGCCGTTTGCTGGCATATAATCAAAGTGGACTTCATGCATGCTTTCAAGCTATTTTACCATTGACATATGGCAGATGCCGACAATCAATAGAGCAATCATCTCTTTGCTGCCTAAGAAGGATGGGGCGGTCGAGTTCCGGGATTTTAGGCCTGTGAGCCTAGTGCATGGCGCGATCAAAATATTTGACATGGTCCTATCAACAAGGTTGGCGGAAGAGCTCCCAAGGGTTGTGGGGATCCACGAGAATGCGTCTGTGAAGGGACGGTCACTGCATGATAATTTCATGCTCGTCCAATGCATGGCACGACGATTCACACGCTGAAGGAGATAGCCTTTCTACTTAAGCTAGATATTACAAAGGCCTTCGACTCCGTATAATGGCCATTCCTCCTTGAAGTTCTTCATCGTTTGGGCTTTGGAAGTAAGTGGGGGTCGTGGATTTGTGGGCTGCCAGCAAGATCGTCAACTCTGATCATGGTTAATACCGTTAATGGAGCACCAGGAAAGAAGAATCTCAACTGCCGCGGACTGAGACACAGAGATCCCCTGTCCCCGACACTGTTCATTCTTTGCATGGAACCTCTTAAGCGGCTATTCGACCTAGCTACATCCCACGGACTACTATCTCCATTGGCACGCTCAGGACCGAAGCAATGGGTGTCCATGTTTGCGGACGACATAATGGTTTTCCTCAAGTCATTAGAAGTGGAACTGCACACATGTGCACAAGTATTGGATCCATACGGCATGGCATCTGAACTTCAATTAAATGCGTACAAAAGCTTGGCCTTTCCCATTCGCTACTGCTCTGAGGATGCAATGGCAATGGTGACAACTATGCTGCACTGTCCCATTAGAAGCTTCCCGTGTAGATACCTTGGGCTACCGTTGACATTAAGGAAGCAGCTCGCAGCAGTGTTTCAGCATCTGGTGGACCAACTGTCGTCTTCCTTACCCAATTGGCGGGCTGCAACTCTGCCCAAAATTGTACAGCTAATTCTCACCCAGCCAGTGCTGTGTGCGATCCCGACTCATGCGATGCTAGCTCTCGATCTGCCACCAAAGATGATTGCGGCTATGATGAAGATATGCAGGGGCTTTCTGTGGTGTGGAAAGACACAAACAAATGGAGGCAACTCTGCAGCGGCCCGGGATACGGTTTGGGCATCCCCGGCCTGCATTGGCTCTTCAAACTTGGATGCAATTTTTGTTACTTCTATTTTTCTTTGTGCTGTCATGACAGATGATGAATAGAACGGAAGTTTTTGCTGCAAAAAATAAATAAAAAATTATCAGACCGTCTAAGTTCATCCATCACCTCATTTATTTATGTGTAAATTTCGCCATCAAGTGCAAAATCAGGGTTCGTTAAAAAATATAGACGATTATTTGCTATGATAACCCAACCTAACCAGTCTCATGTATTTACACAGTACACACCTCCCACGTCCCTTTATTTAAATCAGAGCAATTGCACACAGGACACTAATGGGGTACCATCTGAAATCATTGAAATATCAGTTGGATTACGCGGTGACGGCAATCACATGTGGTATTATCGTCATATATTGGCACGTGATTTATAGATCTAGATTCTTCTTTTGGATGACTCGTGCTATTTACAGAGTGTTCCTAGATTAATATGAGAACCAATAAAATTCCTAGATTAATATGAGAACCAATAAAATTCATGGATAACCATCCATGAAAACAGGAACAAAGTGCATGCTTAGATAGCTGATGCCTGATGCTAATCAGAACCTGAAGTCAAATGATGCCATGTTTTAGCTTGTAGATCATTAATCGGTTGATGCTTTGGTTACATTGATTCTGAGACATGCCAAGGTTGTGTTATCTGTATTATAAAGTATGCAGCAGAAGGGGTTTGAATGGTTTAGTGGGGAGAGTGAACCCTTAGTGACTTAGTGCCTATAA